GTTCCCGTGCTGAACAATGGCGGTGGGGCACTTTGAACTAAAGCTCTTTGAATAAGCTTTAAATAAAAGCACCCTGCCGCCATTTTGCATTGCAGGGATGCTGATACACATGACACTGGAGTCTGCTGGAGCGTGGTAATTACTACGCTCCAGCAGACTCGATTAATCGAGTAATTACAGCGCATTGGAGCAGTCTCCCTGCATGTGTATAGGAGCTCACTGGCCCCAGACTAACTCCCCTTTAGGCTGGGAAATAGCATGCACACACCTAACCTTAGCCAAACGGTGGCATTTGGGCCACTTACAATGATTTTATACCCTATTCTCCCTGCTTTGTCTTGTCTATCTGAGTGTGCTCAGAAGAATCTGCTCTAGTCTCTTATTCCCAGTAGCCTAGTGGTGGGGGAAGACCCAGGTTCTGAGCCCTGTTCCTCTGAAAGGAACTCAAAATTGCATCTCCTAAATCCCAGCAAAGTGTTCTTAACACCAGGTGATAGACAAGACATTACCAAGAGCACCTTTTCTCTCTCTGCCACCATCCTCAATGATACTAAATTTTGTATATAATAGGCACTGGATAAAGTGGGATAAAAATTGTATATCACATTGTTTTCCCTAATATTTTATTGATAAAATTTACATGATACTACATAACAAGATTTAAAACATTTTTAAAGGGTAAGCACTAAATTATAACTGGAACAAAAAGATAAAATTCTAGAGACTGAAAGTTTTGGTGCTCCACCTGGGTAAAAGGTCATCTAAAAGAGACCGCCCACAATTTTAAGCCCCTGCTAGGTGCCCAGGCAACAATCATGATTTGAAAATTTGTGAGGAGAATATCATGCATTTTATATGGAAACCCATAAAGAAAAAGATTGAAGTAAGCAGCTAAAGCCACGCTGCATGAAATGAGCCTCAACAACTTCAAGCTTTGAGCTGCGGTTTTGCCAGATGTATAGAAATGAGAAATACAATCAGATAATCATTTAAACATAGATTTCATCAACAGGTAGAATTTATTATGCTGTTATTAAATGAAAACAAAAGCTAAAGCAAGGCTTTGAGGGCTTTAGGGAAAAAAAATGTTCACATTAAGTTTTTAATTATACAAGTACAATGACGTAGATATGAGGGTGTCTGGTATGGGTCTTGCCTGCATACGAAAGCCTTTTTTGGCATAACCAAAAAGATTCATTTAAATGTATTTATTTTCATATACTATGGCCTTTTTTAGTTATCTGATGTTACTGGGAAAGGAGAAAGTTAAACCAAAAAAGGCAACCTTATAACAAGAATGTCCAGATTGAGGATTATAGTATTATAACTCATAAAAAAAAAACTTTCCCATGTAGACAAACTCAGTACATAGGCAAGATGACTGGCTTTTTAAATTTGAACTGTTACCACCTGACTGTGTCTGTAGTATTAATTTACCTTTGAAAACTTTAAATCACAGCAGATCAGTCACTAAAACCAGCGTTTGATCATTCCAAGAGCAGAAATTACTGACGCTAGGAAAATAATCTTCCATGGGGGAACTTTAGCTTGCAGGATTTGCATAGCTCCAAAAAGCCCCCATCACACAAAATTTTCTAATGGAGACTTTAAGATGAATTAATCCTTAAATTGTGTAAAGCTGAACATAAGAAACTGCAAAAAATCTGTAGAGTCTTTGTGATAAACTGGAAAAGTGAACAAGCCAGACTCAGACAAATGGAACCTAGATGATTTATTTGAGGAAAAGTTTGAAGAGCTGCACTGGGGCACTTTTTCACACCAAATCAAAACCTTTTTTCCACTATAGTTATAAAGCTTTCTTGCAGACACCTTCCACGAAGCAGAAAAGTCTTAAGGAAACTTTTCCCTACATTTTAATCAGAAGACTAGGAAGTTTTTTTTAGCCAGTGAATTATGAACAAACCGTCTAAGTGTCCCCACTTGAGCATACTCTACTTCTGGGGTCACTACTTCATCTGTGATCATGACATCCTTTCCAGACATAAGTGGCAACTAATGTCCCATGGAACATAAATAGTCAATTTAAGCAGAAGTATATACTTACCTAAAGATAAATTCATCAACCCCTGGACTGAAGCTCACAGAATCTAAAAGAATTCCCAAAATAGTAAGAGAAAGAATTCCAGACATTCCAAGCCATTCAGCTAAAGAGAAAAAAAATTAGATGTTATTATTGTACTGCGCGCAGTAAACTCAATTTTAATTCATGTGTAGACATGCCTACTTAAAGTAGTAGCTTTAAATTTACTTGTGGGAGATTTTTAGATGCATTACCATTTGTAGTATCCAAGTATATTAGTAAATATTAAAATATAGCATAATTAAAATAAAATATAATTCCAAGGAAAATATTTATTTTCTGGTTATTGCTTCAAACATAGATTATTCCCATTATAGTTTTTTAAATGAGCTGCAAGGAGTCTGCAGTTTGATTATTTTCTTACTTGACCACCAGTATTAGTCATGCTTTTACAATAGCTCTAGGAATTAGTAATATTTACTTAGTTACAATGGCTGAGTTATCCAGGAACATACTACATTTTGACTTTTTATTAATCCAAGAGAATTTTTCAAATACTCTAACCCCCATTTTTCAGTGGCAGAGTACTGATCTGAAAAGAATATTTTTTTAAACTTTATTTAAGGTAATGATTACCCAAATTAGAATCATGAACACCAATATTGCTCACACTGTGCTGGCCACTTTCACGGCTGCAAAGTACATAGCAGTGTCATGGCTGCAGTATTAAGAAACTTGGGGGGTTTAAACACATGCTCTGGGAGTGTGTGTATGTGTGTGATAGGGGGAAATTACCATGCGTGTGTGTGTATGTAGCTGGGGGGAAATTACCACGCTCCAGCAAACTCTGTAATTACAGTACGTCAGAGCAGCCTCGCTGCTTATGTATAGACCCCCTTGGTTCAAAGCTCTTATTTTCAAGGCTTCTAATAGTTTCAGGGCTGCTACTACAAGACTTGACAAGGAGGATAGATAGCTGCAGTTAAACTGATTAACTCCTAGCATTTTTCAAAGCTTCTAATAGAGGCCCTTTGTCAGTAGTTTCCCCTTTGCTGATTCTGGAGCAGTTAAATAGTACAATTAATTTTAAAATAGACAGTGGGGTCAAAGATGCTACTCTTAAGCAGTTTATGAATTTAATTGATATGGAGATAAATTATATTTGTTACAATGTAAACAATGACAACACATTGAGGCTGGCACTGTGTTGGCATTTTAGTAAACTATATTTTTAGCCAGTATGAATTATACTGTACTCTGTTTATATGCAATATAACACTTGAATGAAGATTTATAGATTTAGGTAACTAATTAGCATGCACCATGCCAAATTGAAATATTCAAATTTGTTCTAATAGGTATAAACAATTCACACTGACTCTGTGAATATACCATTTTATATGATCACTGTGGACAATACTGTTTAATTCACAATGGTTCTGATACTATCCTCACAAAATCAGAGGCACAAAAAAAAAATAAGAACCCTACCAGCTTTTTCAAGAATAAATAAAGGCAATATATTATTTGCAAAAGATCTTCAGCTAAACAATTTTGGCTTTCTCTAACAGATACCCCCCACACCCTGTTTTCTCAGTTCATTCACTCATTCAATCCAAGCAAAGAATAAAAAATAGTAAGGATACTTCTTAGTGGGCATGTCTGCACAAGATGCTTTATGCTGCAGTAGAGCTAAGCACTGTGCATTAAACATCTGCGTCTACACATGCAGATGCTTACTGCACAGTAATTGGCTCCAATCATGAGTAAATTTGCTACCTGCAAATGCAAGTAGCAAATTTACTCAAGATTACCTACTGCACAGTAGCACATGTGTAGATGCCTGACCAGGAACATATGTGCAGCCAGGCAGCAGGGGGCAGGAGATTGTTCCCTGCCCCCAGGAGCTGTCTGCTACTGGGGTGGGCTCCATCCCAGTGCCTGGGCAGGGATAATGTCCTCCTGCTCTGGCAGCAGGGATCTCCTAGCCCCGGCTCCATGGTTATGGTGCCCAGGCTGGGAGATTTTTCTCTCTCAGCACCAGCACTGGGAGAGAAGGATCTTTCTCTGTCTGCTGCAGGGGCCTGTTGCAAGGCTGCAGGGAGTGGGAACAGTTTGCTACTAGGAGCAACAGATCTGCTCCCACATCCCTGCACATGTAGACATATGCCCAGGAGAATTTATTCTTGAGTAGTTTACTCGAAACTAAACTGCTCCTGGATGATATGCACATGTAGATGCACCCAATATTATGTTTCCCCAAACAGAAATCCTAATAAAATACAGAACAATATACAAAACAACCAGGATTATGGGATATTTCATTTTTTGCCCGGAAAAAAATATATACTACAAGTAAAAGTGGAGTTATAACCCTGGCCCTTGTAGAGATCTCAACTGGCTCCAGCATACTAGGAACAAAGGGAGGCAGTTGTAGGATTCTATCTTTAGACAGTATTAAGGTTGTAGCACTTCCTTGAAGAAGATGGCAGCACACAAATATTCCAGCAAAACCTTGAGTGAATAACTTATTAAATAAAAGACTTATGTGCATAATTTTTTTTCAATTTTAAAAAGATATCAAAACAAACCATCCTTTTTACCTGGTATTTCTCCTGTGGACTATGTCAGTCAACTGTACCTGAACTAATGACACTCATGCTTATGTCATTCTTGAACAGGCAGAAATGACCAGTGAAAGAACTGAAGCTCTGGCCACCCTGCACGTCTAGTTTTACTATTGATCATTGAAATTTAACTCACAACAAATGATGTAAGTTTGGCAAGGAGAGAGAATCATTTGGAGTGAAAAATGGTGAAAGAGAAAATGTAAATTTTACCTACTCATTGTTTAAGTGAAAAGCTTTATTTAGCATAATGCACAGAAAAAGTTGAAGCTGAACCAACAAACACAGAAAAAAATACTTGTCCTCAATATGAGATGTTTCAGAAATAGTACAATAATGCAGACAGCTAACAATGCAAAGAGCTTACAACAGCACAAACAAAACAAAAAAGGGATGATTAGGCCAGGGGTTGGCAACGTTTTTGGGCAGAATGCTGAAAAACCCTTGCAACCTTGACTTGTAGGATGTTGGCGTGCCAGGAACAGATGGTGGAGGAACTGCAAGGGGCCTAATCCTTGTTGTAGTAGTGAAGCCATGGGCCACTTTCCTACCTCTACCTCGAGGTACATGTGCACTTGCTGCTGGCAATGAGCCAGAACTGGCCAGTGCAGCTGCTTGCAGCCTCCCCGCTGCCTGCTGCAAGCAGCCCAGGCTCCATGGCCAGCAGCAAGGGCCTGCCCAGAGCCCAAGCTGGCTGTGGTGTACCAAGCAAAATGGCTTCGCATGCCACACTGGCACGTGTACTGAGTGTTGCTGACCCATGGATTAGGCTGATTTTATCCACCCTGATCTTATCCACCCTGTTTTCTGAGGTTATGTTTACACTACAGTTGGAAGCATGACTGCAGCATGAAGGTCTAACCTCGCTTTAATGTAGTTAGCTAGGGTATCGACATTAGTGAAGCCATAGCAATATGGGCTTCAGCTACCATACTTTTTTTGCTATTGATACCTGAGCCAAGTAGAATGAAGCTAGTACAGGGTAAACACAGTCTGAATGAATTAGGTCAATCTCTACTTTCATGGATGTGGTTTTGGAGCATGCTCACAGAAGCAGTTAGTAGAAGCTTTCCACACAGGTTAGAGCATGCTCACATACAGGCAGACTGAAAAAGTTCCAGTGAAGGTGGAAAATAATGTAATAAAAAGTCAGAAGAGAGGAATAGGAATGCTAGTGATTACTCTATCACAAGAGAAAATGACTGACACAATGGGTGCATCTACACATGCCATTAAGGCAACATGATAAACTCAGTTGCTCCCAGGTAGCTTCTGCATGCGTGCCCAGGACTGCAGCAGTTTGAGCAGGGGCAGAGAGCTGGCAGCAGACTCAGGGGGTCAGTCCCGGGCTCTGGGTGGCAGCACTGGATGGCAGAGGGGCTGGCTAGAGGACAAAACTGCTGAAACTGCAGAGCCATATGGCTGACCCCCCAAGCCTTCTGCCAGCCCAAGACTGCTCTGCTATAGCTCAGACTGCTGTAGTCACCATCAACGTGTGTGCTTCCGCACAGTAAATGAGTCCACCATAAGATAGTACTGTCCCCGACAATACCATTTTACAGTGGAGTTAGTTAATTTACTGCACCTTAACACCAGCACACATGTAGATGGTGACGCTTTACTGTGAAGTGATTTAGTCAGCTCCACAGTAAAGCACAGATGTAGATGCACCCAGTGTGAAGCAGCAAAGGCCTAGTCCTGCTACAAGCAGCAGCAGGGTTTACCTCTGGAGGACCCCATGCAAAACTTCAGTTTTGGATCCCTACTCTATACTGTCATTTGATTAAGTTCACATTTGTATCATCCTTCTGTTATATTCCTAGTTCCAGCACTGGGATCATGCACTATTTAGGGTCATAGGAAAGCAGGGCTGGAAAGGGACTTAATGGGGTCATCTAATCCAGACCCCTGCTCAGGGCAGGATCATTCCTGACTAAACCATCTTAGTCAATTGTCTACCTAAACTACTCTTAAAAATTTCCAGGAATGTAGATTCTGCAACTTTTCTAAGTAGCTTGTTCCAATGCTTAACCACTGTCATAGTCAGGGAGTTCTAATATTCAACCTAAATTTCCTCTGCTACAGTTGTGGGCATTGCTCCTAGTCCTGTCCCCTACAGCCACAGAGAAAAATCTATCTCCATACTATTTGTAATTATCCTTTAGGTATTTTAACACTGTTATCAGTTTCCCCGCCCACCCCAACTATTTCCTCTCCAGACTAAATAATCTTAGTTCTGTCAGTCCTTTCCTGTAAATCATGTTTCCCAGGCCTCTAATAATTTTTGTCACTCTCTGCTGAACCCTTTCCAATCTGTCCACATCTTTTTTGAAGTGTAGAATGCAAAACTAGACACAGTACTCCAGATTAGGTCTCATTAATGCCAAACAGAGCAGCAGAATTGCTTTCCTTGATTTGCAAATGGCACTTCTGTTAATACAACTCAGTGGGTGCATCTACATGAGACAGTAAAGTCTCAACATCTACATGTGCGGCC